TCCACCTCAGGGCTTCCTCAAGAAATAAGTCGAAAAATAAAAGTCATCAGGAAAGTTTGGAACATATATACATCGACCCTATTTTTTATGGTGATTCTGAATATGCCATTTGTTTTGGCTAGAAAAATAATGATTATGACCAAAACCGCTGAATACAGGCCAAAAAATGCCATTTTTGCTGATCTCAACAAAACAATCTGGACTTGAGAGATGTTCGCTGCTTTATTTGCAAACAAATTATACATGGATTTGTAGCAAATGAAAAACTCTATCGAATGATATAAAATTCATAGTGGGGAAACTCTAACTCAGCGCATAGGATGGTTTATACTGGACACCAACGCAGTAATTGAACGGTATTCAACAAGTATTTTGGCAAGAAATTATTTTTTTACATTTTTGATAAACGATTGTCATATAGGATTTGAAGTATTTTCCACGACCTATCTACTGATATATAATTCATTTGGTTTGAATTAAGTAACTAGTACATGTATGTAGAACTTGACAACCAAAAGATGCCCCTATGTATAGACAGAAAATTGAAGAAGTAATCGGATCCTAAACTTATAAATACCTAGCAAAATCATTTGAAAATCATAAGGTATATTTTCTACCATCATTTCCTTTGTTTCTACCCGAGCAGATCATTAAAATTCAATTGGGCCGATTTCTGTAGAAATCGCCCCCCGTCCTTTATAATAAAATGAAATATTAGAAAATACAATAATATTGTTTATGATGTTGTTAATGTTGTTGTTGTTATTTGTGATGTTGTTGACGTTGCTGTTATTGTTTGTGATGTTGTTGACGTTGTTGTTATTGTTCATGATGTGGTTGATGTTGTTCTTATTATTTGTGATGTTGTTGTTGTTAGTGTTTCTGATGTTGTTGTTGTAATTATTGTTCTTCCTATTCTTTCTTTCTTATACTAGCACCTCACAACATGAACGAAATGAATTTAAATAATATTTATTAGTTGCTTAGTGTTAAGGTGGAACTCCTCTCACGACTTACCTGAGATAAGTTTTTGATCCTGATAGATATTCTTTTAAAGAAAAATATATAAATAAGAGACGTGTGATTAATACAAATGCGAAGACTAAAAATCAATTTATGTTATCAACTGATTTGTGTTTTATGTGGAAGGTGTCGATCTTGGTGTTAAGATGGACCATTTCTCACAACATAAACCAGAATATGTTTGTGTATTAGATATTATTTGAGAAAATATAAATAAGAAAGGTGAGATTGATGAAAATAAACGATATTGCTAATGATTAATTTTACTACCTTATTTGTATTTATATGAAGGGCGTCGACCTTGGTGTTTAAGGTGGAACTCTACTTACAAACTGAACTAGAGTAAGTTTATATATTCGATGTTATTGGAGAAAATATAATGAGAAAGAAAAGGGTGTGGGTGTGGGTGTTAGTGGGTGTGTGTGGATGTTGGTGGGTGCGTGTGGGTGGGTGTGCCTGGGTGTGCCTGGGTGTGAGTGTGGGTGTGGCACTTGTCTTCTTTGACAACCTCAATGACACCCACACCCACATTCTCGTTTAACTATTGTTCTTATTACTCTCTAACTCTGCGCACAGGTCTGTTAGCGTTCGTTTTATGCGCGAACACTAACCATGTTCTTCGCTCTCTAACTTTATTCTTAAAAAGCAAGAGTATATATATGAATAGTGACAACAAAGAAGAAAAGAAATACAAATGTTAATCGAGGTAAAAGAAAAGAAGTAATCGAAGTAAACGATAATATAGAAGATAACATAGAGGATATAGAAGAGAAGAAAAGAATAGAATAGAAGGATCGAGGTACATGTTATAGTAATACACTGTAACAAGGTCTATAGCGCTTCTTGGTGGCTATCGCGCTTTATTGGATGATCTTAAGCTTTTCCATTTGTTCTCTTCACTGTGATTTG